ATAGAGAACAAGATCAGCAAAACTAAATTTCCTCTGTATTTTTTTCTCATTAAAACAATTCCCTCATTAATAGCTTCGTTAATTACCCTTTCTTCTGTAGGTCTGGCATATCCAAAGGTCTGTATAGACCTTTCAGCATTAACAGGGTGTGATTTTGAAAGAAAAGGGACAGCAAATGCAGATACTGGTCCTCTGCTTCTTTGGCACACTGTCTTTCCCTGTACATTAGAGCCACCAGAATTAAAGAGCTGGCAAATAAGTGCAAAAAGCAGCAGCATTCTCCATCAGTGCCCCTCCTGTTCTCTGTACTTGCAAGGCAGTGTGGTCAATGGTAACTCCGTAAGTGGACCACAGTTCCATGAGGAAGCTCATAGGAACACTTTTGAGAATCAGACCTACTTAGAAAAAGAAAAAAAAAAAACCAACAAAACAGCAGTTTCACAATCTCACTTGGGCTAGCTTTCCCCAGAAGCTGGGCTCACCCTCCTTGCAGCAACATCAGTCTCCCTGTGCAGGCAGCCACAGCTGCCCAGCAGGGAATACTCTTACCAGAAGCAAATAATCTCCTTGGGAGTCTCTATGCAAGGACTGCTGCTAAGGGGAGAGAGCGTACACACATCAAATTCATCAAATGTTTTGCTTCTCCCCTCCTTGGCCTAGTCCTCGGACGACCTGCTGCTGCTTCAGTGCCTTCCTGTGGGTCTTGATGAGCACTGACAGGGCAGTCCTTTAGTTCAGCCAGGTGTACCTTGGCAGCCCCACCAAGTACCAGAGCTACTTCCCAAATTCAGACTGCTTATGCAGCTGGCACTGCCACTTGATGGGTGGCACTGCTCACAGGGTGCTCACACTGCCTCACAAGCATCTGATTTCAGTCTCTGCAACTTTGGTTGCAGTTCATCTTGCACTCTTGCAAAGGTCTCTGGTTGCAACATTCGCTGCTTCTGATCACTGCTGGCTCCCAGGCACCTGCCCTTTCTTTGCAAAGTCTGAAACATTGCAGTCAGGTCACTCTTTGTCACCAGGAGAGAAGTACTTGGCTAAGTGGAATCAGAGAGAAGTGAACAGGCTGCCCAGAGAAGCTGTGGATACCTCATCCCTGAAGGTGTTCAAGGCCAGGTTGGATGGGGCCCTGGGCAAGCTGATCAAATTATTGATTTAGTGGTTGACAAGTCCAGGTGAGAGAGTTGGAACTGGATGATTTTTAAGGTCTCTTCCAACCCAAATCATTCCGTGATTCTATGATTCTATGAACACAGAGCTCATCTGGCCAAAGCAAAGGGCATTTACACTTACCGTAAGGCAATGCCGCTGAGATGGTCACAACATATGACAGCCTGGACACTCCTTCTGGGGACTCAGACTCCAAGTGCTTGTGCTCATGAAGAGCATTCCATTCGCCTCTGGATTCTCACACAGCTCAATTCTTCCCAAATTAAAATTCAAAATGCCTCTTTTCTCCAGAGACCTCAACCATTAGGTCAAATCTCCCATCAGTCCCAATCCAGCACCGACAAATAACCACAAACACTGACCCCAGTGCCCAGTCCTCCAGAGGGAGAAACAAGTTTTGCTTTGACCATATGCTGAGCCTCCATCAGCGAGGAAACATATTACCTTCTTGCCCCAGCCAGCTTCTCATGACTCCTCTTGCACAACCGCACCATTGAAGCATCCTCCAGGAGGCCAGGCCCCACAGGCACAGCAGTCAAGGCTGTTTAAGGCTGTCTAAGGCTGTCACTAAGTGCCTGGGATGCACCAATAGCAGAGGGGTCACAGACCCTCACAGGAGTTCCCAGTTGAGAGACAGTACTCCTTCCACCCCAAAAGAACATCCCGTTTCCTCCAAAGCCAATGGAGCTGTCCTCAAAGTAATACATTTCAGTCGAGCAACTGGCCAAAAATGAAAGTACAAACAGAACTTAATGGAGCGCGAAGCAAAGGATGACAAGGAAAATTCTCGCTCCAATTTTAATCTCTGTTTACAATGCCAAAAGTGGGTCAAATGGGCCTGCAATGGAGGGATTTGTCTGGAGAATGATCTCCGCAGCAGAAGACATGCACGCAGTGAACAACTGCATGGCAGTACGGCTGCAGCAGCCTCTCCCTGACCCCAGGGCCGCTCAGCCTTAAAGAAGCTGTAACACAAAACCTTGGCTTCCCATTCAAATGACTTTCAGTACAGCTCTCCATCCACTAGCATAGATCCACAGACTCATGCAACGCAAGTTTGAGCTTTAAGGAGTTGAGGCATCACTGGGTTTGGGCACAGGGAGGTGGCAGTCATTGCCCTGTTGGTTGCAGGCAACTGCTCTGCCTTCTGCCCCTTTCCCATGTTACAAAACTGCTCATCGGGACCATTGCTCTGCCCAAATCCTGCCTGGCTTTACCTCCTCATGGCCACTCTTCAAAAGCAACGCAACTGCAGCAATGGCCAGCAGCAGCCCAAAAGCAAGAGATGCAATGCATAGTAATGCTGCCTTCCAATGCACTCTCATTCACAGTTCCTGGAATCAGATGAATTGAATACCTGTCTGCTGCTCAAGACAGGCAGCTGTTCTGTAAACAAATGCAGCCAATGCTCCCTGACAAGGAGTTACTCTGCACAAAGTCAGCACACAAACACAATGCAATCTACAGGAAGAACAGTGACCAGCCCTCAAACCCACCAATTCGTTTTATTGACTGAAAAACAATCTGCTAGCTGACCTTCAGGTGCTTCACTCCTTGTATGGGCAGACAACCCTTATTTACTAAAATTAGTCTACTAATTACTCGCAGGGTACCCAGAGGCTTTCAAAGCACAAAATGCCAAAAATACGTTATTAAATTCCTGTGAGCGTTGAGTCCTCTTCCTAAACAGTTTTTGAAAGAAAGAAATGCTTTTAGAGCATTTGCTAGAAAACATCTTCAAGAAACTGATAAGCAATCCTTCTTTGTTGGTTTTAGTTGCTATTTTGTATTAACAGGAAGATAAGCTGAGGGAGTCTTCCAATTTCTTGCTTATGCCAGGTATTCATAGAAAGTTGTGATGTTAAATGATACTGAGAGCTGAACCAGTCTACATCTGTGGCTCAAACCAGGTACTGGTGAGAGCTCAGACAAGTCTGAGCTGAAGCTGTCTGAGCTCAGACAGTTTGAACTGAAGACTTTCAGGACAAATAGGGAATAAAGGGACTCATATTTAAAACGTGCTCAGTATAAAAATAATTCTCTATAAATGAACAGTAGTAGCAAAAACAAAAAGACATGAGGAAAAAAAAATACCAGGATACAAAGACATAGGGATATTAATGCTATATGTTTTATTGGCAAGCCACAGGAAGTAAAAGAAAAAAAAGAGAACAGTATTATACAAATAGCTCAGACATACTCCTTTCGTGTTCCCAGCTAGCACGGTAGGGTACGCACTGAAACTACAGAGAAAGCATATGCACAAAGTTGGACTGGAACATGAGTTCGTGAGCCTTTCAAAGGCACCTATGGGCTAGAAAGCACAGCGTGAAAGGCCAAAAACTACGTATAGATCCGCTCACAAAACAAAGGAATTAGTGGATATACAGAGCTCTAGCAGAAAGCTGGACACAGGCTGACTGGGGTAGGTGGCAGGCCGAGAGGCCTTCTGTTCTCTGCCAGCCGTCCCAGCCCATCATCACCCTCTGCACATCCCTGCACCATTAGGCTCATCTCTGTATGGCAGAATGGATAGCAGCACCCCACTGACAGCTCCTGTGAGAAGCTGTGCCCCTGCACAGGCTCCTCTAGGTCTGGGATTGGGAAGGGACCCCAGTATCAGAAGCATTGTCTCCTTCGACACGATAGCAAAAGCACGCCTCTCTTTCACATCAAAGCCACTCCTAGCTGCACCGTACACAGAAGCACGTGAAGTTGGAAAACACTTTCCTAGCACTTATTTCCATCGCACTCATATCTGTTTCAATGTGCCTGCAGCAGAACCTGTTCCACACTCCATCTCAAGACTCTATCCTCCCAGGCTTATCAGGAGTGCAGGGATAGCCCTGTGTTGCCCCAATGCTCAACACCCAGCTCCATGGGGCTCTGGAGACCAGAGGCAGGGAGGTACAGCGAGACAGACTGGGAAACCACCACGGCTGTCATGCAGACAGAAGGATGCACCAACAAACTATTCCTGAGGGGGTCTGCACCCCAACTGCTGCCAAGGAGTGGACACGCATTATTTCCAGCTGCATCACACACACAGAATAACAGAACCATAGGGGTTGGGATTGACCTCTGGAGATCCATCTAGCCTAACCCTCTGCTAAAGCAGGTTCCCTAGGGGAGGTCACACAGGACAGCACCCAGGTGGGCTCTGAGTCACTCCGGAGAAGGAGACTCCACGTTTTCCATGGGCAGCTTGCTCCAGGCCACAGCAGCTGTCCCTGTGCTGGTCCCTGTGTCACTCATGCTCCTGTGTCATTTCCATAACACTTGTGGGCTCCAGTGTCATTTCCACATCCCCCATTTGCTTGCAGTCCATGAGGACAGCACCGAGCCGCCAAACATAGCAGGGTGGACAACAGCACAAAGCAGTGACAATCTGTGGGGAATTGAAGAGCCCGCTCCAAACCCAGCACCCTACATAGCTCAAAGGTTTCCAACTCTGGGGCTCCAGAAAACCAGGTGACCACAGCCACCTGCCAGGTGACCTTCAGTAGTCACCAGCAAGATGGGGAAAGTTGGCTCCATGAGGTGTGCCAGCACACGGAGGCCTCCAGAAAGCCCAAATAAAGAAAGCAAGCAGGACAACAGCCCGCATTACACAGCGGCACAAGGAAATCAAATTGTGAAACGTGAATGTTAGCGGCGGCCACGGGGCTAAGGGAGCGCTTTTTGTTCCCTCCCGCCGGCTCCATCGTCTCCGGGAGGAACTCAGCACCGAACCTCCGGGGGCTCCGAGTCGGAGGCCGCCGTGCCGCCGTGCCCCCCGCGCCGTGCCGCCGCCCCCGGCCTGACAAAGCCCGCTCCCCCCGACTCACTTTCTCGATGGATCCCGGCAGCAGGCGCTCGAGCAGGCGGCACAGCACCACGCCGTCCTTCAGGGAGGACTGCAGGAAGCCCTCGGGGTCGGCGATGCTCTTCTTGGGCGACTCCAGCACGCCCAGGGCGATCAGCCACGTAACGGTCTGCTCGGCCGAAGTCATGGCCGCGCGGAGCTGGGTTGGAGGGGAGAGGGGGAGGGGGGGCGGCTTTATGGGATCGCTGTCTCCCCTCCCCGGGCGGGGGTTTCAGGCCGAGGCCCCCGCCTCCCCCATGTGAATGCGGATGACGACGCCCCGCCACACACACGCACACATACACACACACACATGCAGCCGCAGAGCCGCCTCCTCCCCGCCCCGTGACGGCACGGGGCTTGCGCGCCCGCGGACCCCCCTCCCCCGCGCCCGCGGAACCGGACCGGGCGGCGGCTGCCCCCCGGCGGCCCGAGCGGCGCGGAGCTTCCGCGGCTGCGGAGCGCTGGGGGAGCCGCCCGCCTCCGCAGGCTGCTTGCTTCGGGCCTGTGCGGCACGGGGGAGCGGGCTGCAGCGGGAGGGTGCTCGGGATCGATCCGTTACTGCGAGCGCGGTGAGGCGCTGGCACGGGTTGCCTAGAGAGGCTGTGCGCGCCCCATCCCTGGAGGGATCCAAGGCCAGGTTGGATGGGGCTCTTATGGCTGTTACTGCCTCGCCTGTCAGCCTCTGGAGCAGTGAGGAGGTGCTCTAGATGGATGTACAGTTCTCCCTGTGCCAAACCAAGGTCGGGATCTCAGTGTTGAGGAGACAGGTTGAACATCGGTCTGACCAGAAACCAGAGCTCCCATGCAGCAGGTAACTCTCACAGGGAGATTCGCCCTATGGAAGTTTACATCCTCCTGAGAAAAAGTCTCATACGTACAGAGCAGTACTTCACAGTAAACACACAGATCGTGGAATCACAGGATGGCTTGGGTTGAAAGAGTCCTTAAAGATCATCTCATTCCAACCCCATGCCATGGTCAGGGCTGCCCCCCACCAGCTCAGCTGCACGGGGCCCCATCCAACCTGGCCTTGAGCACCATCATGGATGGGGCACTACAGCCTCTCTGGATAGCTGTGCCAGCGCCTCACTGCCCTCTGAGTAAAGAATTTCCACCTAACATCTAAACTAAATTTCCCCTCTTTTAGTTAAAACTACCCCCTCCCCCGCACCCCCCCTCCTCTTGTCCTGTCAATGTCAGAATGTGTGAAAAGGTCCCCTTCCTCTTTGTAAGGTCACTTCAAGTACTAGAAAGTCACAGTGAGGTCTCCCAGTAGCCTTCTCCAGACTGAATAAGCTCTTCCATCTTCGTGACCCTCCTCTGGACCCACTTCATCTATTTAAACAAGCAACCAACAAAACAAAACAAAGAGAGATGTATTTCTAAAACATGTTTGCAGAAGGCAGAGATCCCTCCCCTCACAGAGAAACACCACTGGAGGCAAAATCCCATGGCTGGTGACACAAGCCACATCCAGCCAGGCAGACATACTCTGGGGACAGCGGGCACTCTCCTCCAAAACACTCAAACCTTCCCCAGCTACAATTGCATAGAATCACAGGATCACTGAAGTCAGAACAGACCACTAGTCCAAACCCCAGCCCACCCCCACCGTGCCCACACCACACTCCTCAGTGCCACATGCACGAGGTTCTTGAACACCTCTAGAGACGGTGACTCCACCCTTCCCTGGGCAGCCTGTGCCACTGCCTCACAACTCCTGAAGAGCTCCTTCTTTCCTAACAGCCAATCTGAGCCTCCCCTTGCACACAACTTAAACCCTCGAGCCTACAGCCCAGTTGCTGTGCTACCTCATGGCAGGTGCTGTTAGAGCCATGCCAAAGCAGAAATGCTGTCACTGGGTCAGATCACTTTTGAAAGTTCTGATAACATCTGCTTCATTTTTCAGGTCAATGAAGACAACTCTCAGCGTTGCATCCTTGGAGAATTTGTAACTTCTACCCTGGCTATGTTCTTTGGATGGAAGTGCTCGCAGAGCCCTCTGGCTAGTTTGCCACAGCCCCAAATGTAGCCCTGCTTCTGTACTCCTGAGTCCATCAGTGCAACAGCTGCACCACATTTGTCTTCTAAGTGCAGCTTGAGATAATGGCATTGATCTGTTGTGTTCTTTATTCTCCCAGAAACCAATAGTGAGCATTCTGCTTGAGGCAGAGATGAATATAGAAGCACGGTCCTCACCCAGTCTACATCACGTGTGATAGATGAAGGTTAGAGTTGGAGAAGGAAGAAATGGAGAAGGACAACAGTCACGCGGGGCTCCCTCTGCAGAAAGAAATCTATTTTGATTGGCATTTTTGAAGTATTTTATTCACACTTAATGAAGACCAGGAAAGAAATGAAGAATGAGAACAGGACTGCTAGGAATCAAAGAGGCTACAAGTGATCGAAAAGGTCCTGAATTTCAATTAAACAGGATTCAAGATTTCCAGATCATTTTTCATGTGTATTTACTACAATTTACCCTGTGTTCTGTTAGCACAGATGCAGTAAGCACCTTCATAACGCTGCAGACTGGGTGGCAGCGAATCGGTGGTTCCCCTGGGTAAGGTCCTGGGGGCAGGGAAGTTGGCAGTTGCCTCCAGATCCCAGCACGGTCTGCATCCTATGAGCTGCAGGGGAAGGTCTTGGCCGGGAGCAGCTGTCACTGCTCCATCGAGCTGATGAGTCTGTGACATCGCTAAGGAACGAGCCCTAAAACTTTGGCTGCAGACATTGATCTCAGAGCACTGATGTGACTATCCACAAAAAGAGGATTCTAAGATACGCCTGATGGGGAACTGGGGGCAGAATAAGGGTAAGTGTTTTGCAGAGTCATTGGTAAAATCTCGTTTAGACTGCAGCATAGAGACTTGGACAGCTGTGTTCAGGAAAACTGAAATCACACTGGAACAGACTCCTTAGAAGCGTGGCAGTGATCTGAGAGCTTGGCTCATTCCATCTGGAAAAAGAAAGCCTGGAGAAGGGGGTAGGACCACTGTGAGTAAATATCACAGATAGACAGGAGCCATGTAAGCTCAAGGACAATGCTATCACAAAAATAAATGCATAGAAGCAGATTCTGATTACATTAATGCTAGAATTCAGGAAGAAAAAAAAAGATCCTTCTGTCTGTAAAATCCTTCAGTGCTGTTAAGAAACAGTGGGGAAGGTAGCCCAGCTGTTTTTAGAAGGGCACACGATGAGTGGTTAAAGCAGATCTATGACTTGACTGCAGCAGGGATGGGGCTCACCCAGTCCTGTCCCTACCAGAATCAGACTGGGCCAACCATTCATCATGGTGGGTAGTGTTCTGCGCAAGTCAAACATGCAGAACCACACTCAAAGCCCTTCCTCCTCTCAGAGGGAATGCTAACAACATTCATTCAGCACTGCATGGAGAATTCATTTAGCCAACTGGGTTAATGGAAGAAAAGCTCTGAGCTATAGGACCTCTGGGCCAGAAGCTACACACAGTGGCCCTTGAGTGTCTTTTACAGGGTCCTTTTCTACAAATGCTTTTCAGCCTTACGGAAGATTGCCACAGACCTCTACCAGCTCATGCTTGTTCATGGTGTGGTAACCCTTCTGCACTTTGAGTGCAGTGCAAACAGCAGGTAGAGAGAAAGAAGATGAAACCCGGACATTTGGTGGGGTTGGATGGCTGGAGAGGTTTGGAAGGGATCCCGATTTACAACTGTGTGAGTCCTCAACACACTGGGAATGTTTGATACAGCCATAAACCTGGATCAGTCCAGGTTTGCATGGTAAATCACCATCTCTATCTGGCAGTGCAAATGTTACCCTCTGCTGATCCCTCGCTGTTTTTGGGTGCAGGGGTTGTGCTGCCCCATGCAGCACGGCTCAGCATGAGCAGCTGTTGTCTTCACCAGACTTGTAAATGCTCCCTGGGCTATTTTTGCATCATACCACGTGAGTTTATAGGGTTTTTATTTTTAGTCCTACAGTATGATTTGTTGATGATGTGTATTTTGCATGCAGTTGGTATTGAAGCGCCAAGGTGATAGAGGCCATTTAATGATCTGCCAATATATGTTGCAGTCAGTAAATGTTACAATCAATAAATGTCACCATTTGCCTTACAGTCAGCATCTGCACCCTTTCAGCCCTGGTGATCACACATTTATATTATATCTATTTAGGCTGTAGGTTTCTGTATCACTGCTGTTTCACCCCAGTTTTGCTCCTGCCACTCTCAGCCATCAGCATCAAGTTCCCCAAGTGCTCCTTTTGAAAGAAACCTCATGGAAAATGAACCATTCCTGCAAAATTCTTGCTGAAGGTCTACCCACTTGGCTTAGTGAAGTTTTACCTACCCAGACTAAAGGGTTTGCTCTGATTCTGTTATCTGGCACCAGGAGAAGGGTGGAGGTCCACCTTTTTTGCAGATTAAAACTGCAGCTACCTGCTAGAGATGGGCTGTGGAGATGGTTATTTGGCTCAGCACTTTGCCTTTCTCTTTGTGAGCTCCCAGTGCTCAATAAATTGTGCATTTTTCCTTAGCTTTTATAGTCCTGTGTGCTGCCATTGCCATTCTCGGCGCTTTTCATTTTAGCCAAGTAACTCTGCAAAGTATGCTCTGATGAACTGGCAGTCAGACAACAAGCAGCTTAGCAAACAGGATCTTCTAGAGGCCTTGAATCCTGATGATGCAGAAACATATAAAAGCCAAAGTATATTCCCAGAGTCACACCACATCTGCTTGGAGAGGAGAAACGAGAGTCGCTGGCAAGTTGGATTGCACAGAATTCTAGTGGTTGCATACTGCTGTCATTTAGCATCTTTTGGGTTAGACCTCTCTTAATTTCTCCTGCAGTTTCTCAGAGTTCAATGTGAAAATGATCTTCGTCAGCAGAGGCCAGACCTCTCTCTGTTAATGAGTGGCCTTGTGATAAATCCCATGCTTCCAGCAAAGCAATAGGATATCCTTGCTTTTAAGCATGGTAAATAGGTCAGAAAACATTATAAGGACCGAGGGCTGAGGATTGCCTGATGTTTTTTTCTCCTTTTTCTCTGTTGATTTAACTCCCAATGGAGGGTTTCTGCATTTATGTCAAATACATTTTGAAATACAGCACTCCAATCATTGCTTCAGCATCATTCAGCTAGTTTCCAGCAGGCATATTCCATCTCCTTATCAGATACAGCTACAAAAGGGAAACGGTGTAGTTAAGATAAAATCTCTTTTTAAATTAAGCAAAATAAGCTTCTCATTGTTTGGCTTGAATTCTGTAGGGCGCTTCCAAAACACTGAAGATCTCTATTTCCAATGTATTACCTGCCATGACTGGACGTGAAGGTATTTATAAGCTTACATGCAGTGATTACTGCAATGGATTGGCTCTATATTTGCTTTCTGATCTGAGGAGTGTTCCGTCCCTTCTCTGCCTACAGAGCTGATCAGCGAAACAGGCCATGATAAAAGCTGTGTGAGAAAGCTTCCTTCTGTACTAATTGGATGAAACTTGGAAACCAGAGGCTTTACTGGGAGCGCTGCCTATTTTCCTCATAATTATATGCATATTCAGTTTAACAGCAAAACAAGTCTATAATTGTTCAGTTCAGAAAGGAAAAGCTTCTCACCGCATATGGCGGTCAGAAGAAACATGTGCAACTACTACATCAACACTAAATAGCGCTAAATCAGCACTACCTGCACTAATTTGGGATGGGGAAGTGTATCAGACAATAACTTCAGAAGCAAAGGATATTAAGGGAAGGAAGCCATCAAGAGCCAGTTTTAATGCATGCTTGTTAGTACAAGGAAGAACTTCTCTGCTGCTCGTCACGTAAATTACATTCACCATCTAATCACACCGCAACGATCTGAGGTGGTTTAACATTCAGGTGTGTTTTGTAAACAATTTACAGTTGATGCATAACTCACAACAGCATTGCTGCTGCCTTTAAATTCGATCATAAGGCTGAGGTGAGACCTAAATGTGAGCCTCCCGCTTTGATGTCTGACATAAATAATGTACGCAGAGATCCTCAAACGCTATTTGGCTCCACTGCTGTGGATTGAATGTCACAGCTCCATGCTGCTGTGAAGAAGTAACATCACCAAAATAACTTGATCTAGCTATTTAACCTTGCAAATATATACTAGGAAATGAGACAAAGTCTGAAAAAAAAGAAATAAAAAAAAGGAGGGGAGGGAGGGGAAAGCATTAAAAAAAAGGTTGAAGTTGAATGTAGCCCTTGCAATTCAAACTCTTTTTTTTTTTTTCATCCTTTTGTTCCATCCAAACCCGTACAACTGTCTGTACCAGTAATGGTTATCATAACACAGCTACACTCCAGCACATACATTTTTATCTACTGGTCCCGTACTTCTCCAAAATAGGATTATTGAACCAGTTGATACGGAGTCAAACATTGGAGTACATTCTCAAGCAAATTCTCACAAATGAGCTCTAAGTTTTACATGAGTAAGGACTGACAAAACATTCAAAAGCCACTCAGAATCTGACTGTTCTCCTACTTTTCAGAGCAAAGGAAAGGAAAAGTAATGTTTTAAACATAAAGTATGAAATTTCATATTATCTTTTTTTTTTTTTTTTTCAGAAGACATCACTGCAGATCAGTTTCTAACTTCTGCCTGCAAATTCTACTGGCAAGAAAAATCCCTTCCATCAAACTAAATAACAAGCTAAAGGTAGCATCATGTTTTCTTTGGTGCAACTTTCTAGGCTATGTATATCATATAAATCTGTATAGCAAGAGTCCACACTTGGGGGACAGATTTCCATCAGAAATGCTCCACCTGAGATTGCAAGCTCAGAAAACTTTAGCAATAAAAAACAGATGAGACTGAGCCAGGAGAAAGCAGATCTTTCATAGATGGTGTCCTCTGCACCAATTCCAACTTGCTGTTCTTGACACTAAAGCTGCTCAGAAGTTTAGCGTAGAGCTTGGCTTGTTTTCTGAACCAACTAGGAAAAAAATGCCATCAGCCATTCTTATGCCTCTACAACTGCACTCCATTTGCTCAAACCAGCTTAAAAATAAGTCTCTTGAACATCTTCCGTCTTGAAATATTTCAAGAGCAAAAGGCAAGCATTGCTGCTTCCTGTCATTAATAACTTTCTGAAATAACAAATGGAAACCTGGAGACACTATTCACTGCTGCTATTTCCTTAAAAGTGGAATTGGACCATTTACCAGCTCCAGCAAGGGAGCATCCTTTGGAGTTTGTATCCTTCCAGAAAGGATGTTTCTCTTTTGCTGCAGAAGATGGATCATACACCACCACGCGCCATTGCATGTGTAGAGAATGACTCCAACTGGCTATGGAGAAACTGCAAAACAACTGGAGGAACACTGACATGAGAAGATTACATGTTTTCCAGGCTCCTTCCTTCTCTATGTAGAATATAAACTTCCTTTTTCTTTCCCCAAATTATAAGTTCTCCAGGGGGAATTTTATAGGGATTTTTCTTCCTTGCTCTCTCTTCTTGATTTTAATGCATGAAGAAATAATTCATGTCCAGGGAAAATTGCTCTGAATCTCACAGGATTTTGAATATTGATCTAAACAAAGTTTGTTTTTTTTACAGAAGCTGTAACAAGATATATATTAAACAAATGCAACACTGTGATTGGAACAGAGCTAAACAGTTTGCACAAATAAAAAATAAATGGAAATAATAAAGCCGTGAGTTCTGCAGTTGCTTGAGATCTTTATGTTCTTTCAGCTAGTATCACAGTTATTAAAGGCTTAACTGGTTAGAATGATGGATCAAGTATTTAATACCATATAAGCATTACACAGAAATGTCTCACTGTGCATTTGGCTTCATAGTAGCTACAGTCCAACCTTACCATTTTTATTCAGTCCCTGCTAGCTAACACAGGATCTGTGCCTAAGCAACTATAGGAGCAGATGTTCTATAGCCTTAATTAAACATAATTAAATATTGTGTGACAAAGTCTTATTTGCATGGAAGAGGCCCTAACTCCTCAAAAAGACACAGCAGGACTGTTTGAGGAAGAGCTTCTGATCCATACAATAAGAAGATAAAAGTTTGTGCTCTGGGCATTTTTGCTTAAGACTCTGTTTGAACGCTTTAATTTGCAAAATATGAGACAGATCATTTGCTTTATTTTAAAATATGTTTTAGGGCTGTCTTTATTAAATTGTATGGTTCTATCTGAAGTGTGTTTGTATTTGTATTTTACAGCAAAATAAAATAAGAGAGAAAGAAGTGATGACATCTCATGCCTGCAGGACTACAAAGCTGGATATAATGCAGCTTCCTTTCCCAAACAGTGGAAGAAATAACTCCGAAGAACTTAAGCAAACAAACTTAGAGTGTATTCAACTATTTTAGTTAAGCAATGCTCTCTTTTTGGGTTTGTAAACATTAGGATCTGTCTCTCATAAGCTAATTTAGCTTCCACAAAGGTATTTAATTATTTACTGCAAATTACAGCTTTAAATAGGCATTTAAAGCAAAAAAGAATCATGTTTCAAGTTAAAGAACCTAAAAAAAAAAAAAGATGGCTGTCAAGAACTCTTGTCTTTTAGACCATGAACTTTGACACTGCCCTTTAGTCATAAGCCTAAGAATACAAAATGTTAAAAAAAGAAGAACTATGTGCTACAACTGCATTTCCTGTAACATATGTTCATGATTGAGGTATTTAACCAGCACAGGATGTGCTCAGACAGAGCAGAAACTGTCCCTCTGCAGCAGCCAGCTGAGCTCCCAAAATAAAGCGTCGAGGAGTTTGCCAACCACAATACGATGAAGGCTCTGCTTCCCACTCTAGCAGTGGGGTTTTAACATGGTGATGAGATGAATGAATATTTGCTTAATAATGCTGATACATCTTATGGAAGAAAATGATAGGGATATTCCTTTAAAGGATCCAGGTGATGCAAGCCTGCAAACGGATCAATTTTCAGCATGGCTTTCTGTTCCTATTTGTTTGAAGATGCGGGAAGCATGAAGCACTGGTAGCAGAAAGGAGTAAAAAAGGACTATGGAGGGAAGTGCTTGCAGTGATGCTGAACCCTAGATAAAACCGCATGCGTGCTGGCTACTGAAAAATATTACTTCTTCTGAAGAAAACTTACATAAACAGCCTGAAGCAAAGGGAGAAAAATAAAGCTGTTAAGTCAGTAGAGAAACTTCAGCTCTGCCACATTAATGTCCTGCTGCCTCATGTGTTCGGTGCTGGAGTGCAGCCAGCAAGGCAGAGGAAGGGATGGCTCCCAATTGTGGTGCCACATCTGAAGCACTGCATCCTGTTCTGGCCTCCCAGAACAAGAACAGACTTTTCAGCAATCTGGAATCCTTCCAGCATGGGGCCACGAGGATGGATGAGGGGCTAGAGCCCATGAAATAAAAGGAGAGGCTGAGAAAGCTGGCCAAGTCAGCCTGGAAGAGAGCAAGATGCGGAGGCATCAGCTTGTGGCCTCCACTAACCTGATGGGGGGCTGCAAAGGAGACACCCTTCGGAGGTACCCAGAGTGAAGTTGAGGGGAAAAGGACATGTGTTCCTGCAAAGAGCAGCATGAGAGGACATGAGAAGTAAAATGAGCAGCTAAGCACTGGGACACCCAGAAGAAAGAGGTGAATATCTACCATCCTGGAAGTTATTCAGAACTGAACTGGAGAAAGCCCTGAGCAAGCTGACCTAGCTGCAGGCAGCTTGGCTGTGAGCAGGGACCTGGGCTGGAGGGTTTTTGTGACCTCCACAAAAATCATCTGACCTGTCATCCTGAAACCAGAGGCAAACAGGAGTCATCCATACCTGATTTTTAGGCAGGGGTTGTTTTTACATTGCAGAGCTGAAAAGTGAAACGAGCACTTGTATGAATACTGAAACCAGTATTCAAATAAAATATTTAAATTTCAATGACTTAGCAAAAGATATTGATGCATTGACTTTGAAAATCTTTATTTAGAATAATCCTATTGAAATATAACAGGTTTTGATGACTCACTATCAAGAAGTAATTCCCTGTAAAGGTTCAAACTGCAGGCATTTGATGCAAAAATGACATTAAGAATAGCAAGAGGCACATATGCTAATGATGCTACTGATAACAGCAAGGGAGTGTGAGTATGCGTGGAAGAAGCAAGAGCAAAATACAGAAAATCTACAGCCTATGCAAAAGGATGGAGGAAATCTTCAAACACATTAAAAGGCTATTGCAAAACAGATGGAAATAATGTGTTTTCCATGTCTGTGGTGCGTGAAATGAGAAGGAACAGGTTTAAATTGCAGCAAGGCAAATTCAGATTCAACACTGGGAAATGTCTTTACAGCTTTTTTGGCATGGCGCTGTAATCTTAACCTTGTTTGCAACCTTTAAGAAAACGCGAGACAAATATCTGTCAGAAGTGATCTATCTCTACATGTTCCTGCCTGGGAACAGGAAGATGCACTACGTGAACTTTGATACCCCTTCAAATGTGATGATTTCATACAGAAACTTCTATATATCAAACAAAAGGGAAAAAAAATGCATCTGGGTCGAAATTCAGGTCTAAAACACGATCTGAACTGGAGTTACAGCTGTAAATGAAAGGTCAGTAATCACGAATTTTTAGAGAAAAATGGCTAGCCTTTCTTTGTGGCAGTATTTGCTGAAGAGAATCCACAGTAATCACCTTGACATTAGGAAAATTGTGTAGAAATAAGCTGAAGGCATTTATTTTTACTCAGCACTGAGCAAGCAGATGAGACAGCAGCTGGTTATCAGATGGATCCTCTGTAAGTGCGTTATGGAGAATGTCTAACTACCTAATCACTTGTGCTTCTGTTCCTGGAACGCAGACAAAAAACAGACTTTCTCTTTGGTCACTCAAGACCTGAAAGACTGAAATAATGACATGGATTTCTTTATGACTTTCCAGGACTAGAGGCTGTATTTAGGAAAGGGGTTCTGACTTAGTCTTCAAGAATTTACAGGTAAAGAAAGCAGAATGGGACAACCCAAATTTCTCAGCTCATTTTTCAGGATACAGAAAATAGCAGCCCCAAATAAACTGCTGGGTCTGAGCAAGTGGCTCCATGGCTTCTTTAGCAGCATGACTTTAAGCAGCACACATCTCTGCCTCTTTCCTTTCCTCTCAGCTATTTAAAAAAGGTGACTTCATTCATGCATCTAATAAAATCACAAAGGCTCAAAAGCTTAGTATGCTGAGCTCAGTGATGTTCTTAGCTCTGTCTCTTAATAATTACTTTCACAGTGCTTCCCCCCACCAGTAAGATGAGCTCGATGAATTGGAGCTAACTTCATTACACGGCAGAGCCAAGAGCATCTTCTGCTTCCTGTCACATCCCCAGCGGTAAAAGCCTCTCTCCAACTTGCGCTGCAGAGTTCAGACCACAGCATACATACAGATTTTACTTAGATTTAATCAGTCCACACAGGCTGACACTACACATGCTTGTGTGTAATAAAGGCTAAAAACAGTCCAAATTTTCTTAATGTTAGTACAAATATTCTGTAAAAAAAAAAAAGCCCATTGACTTGCAGCAAACTCACTGAAAGAAGCAAAAATGAATGGTGTCTTCCCTAAGATGTACGGCTGTCAATTTCCCTTATTTAGTTGACAGTTAAAATGCTACATATTAACTCCCTTAGATGTTATTACATCTTCATGCCCTCTTTGGCTTCAGTAGCGTGACATTTGCCATTATTTCTTTCTATTTTTCTTCATGTACTGGCTTTCATCACCGTGGCCTTCTCTTACCTCGACAGCCATCAGAGATCTTATTCTTTTTGTGGCCCAGGTGTGTTCTCGCAGTATTTTATGTAGAGGGAATCAGTTTTGCTCCTCATCAGTATTTTTTTTATCATTGAGAGGTTTTTTGATCCTTTATCCCTAACTTCTAGCTGTGTGGTTTCTGTCACGGCTTGGTAACTACAATCATAGCTTTTCACTCCTCTATTACAGCGACTCAGACAATTTCCAAAATCTGAAGTCTTTCCACCACTTGAAAAAGCAAAATAAGTAAAAAAACAAACAAATAGTTCAATAAATAAAAATCTGAATGCAAATGTGCAAGGTGGTACCTTACTCTGCCCTATGGTGCTCCTGAAGGCAGTGTAATGGATGCAGGAATTAGGACCACAGGATGAGTTTTCTGTATCTTTGAAGCAATGACCAGCCAAAGAAGTGGGAACAGACAGCAACTGCAGTTTAAAAAAAGAAAGGTCTTGTGACTACTGGATGTGAACTCCATACCCAGACACAGACGCCTTGGTTTGATTCATCTCCGAGCCTCTGGAGCGCCAGCATAAAATAATATATGATCAACAGAATCCAAACAGGCAATATGTATGCTCAACAAATACCTGCGAATGATAACAAAAATGTGGCAGTGTTGATAGCTGCCTATTTGACAGCTTGGAATAAAGCATGAATGGTTTTACAAACTGCTGCTCAGATACAGTAACAACGCTCAGCTGTCCAGGTCACTCAATCAGACATTTAGCCCTATCTGCATGATGCTTCAAGTGGGTAACATGAACTCACTGCTAAGCCTTATCCTAAAGTGTCAGAAGTCACTAGTCAAGAATGCACTAATGCTTTGCTACACTTGAAGAGCTTCACATTTTATTGGCAATATTACACAGATAAACAGTATTTGCAAAGTGAAGGTGGACGGACACACGGTCAGATAAGCTGAAGTGACGTATAAATGAAGCTATGCAACAAGCTTGTGCTTCCATTTCTCCATGCAAGCTCCAAGACCAAAAGGCAAGACATAAAACAGCACAGAACATATAACCTCAATTTAGAGTAGTGACCATTTTTAAGTGGCGTATTAAATTTTGTACAACCTTATGACATCTATAGAGCTGTTCAGAGCTTCCTGAATTTACACATACATGTGTTCTAGTCTTCCAAATAAACGTATGAAATGTAGCATTTGTTCTTTCCAGGATAAAATGCTTTCGTAAAACCTCCCAAAGATAAATCTTACAAACTTCCAAAATGGTCTGGAAATAATACCAGCACCTCTCTGTACTGGCAGAGTTTAATCCATCTCTGACCTAGATTATAAGACTTAGCAATCAGGATGATATAACACTCGACTCCTCGTCAGCAGATAAAGAGTAATAAAAAACAGTTCTTCCAAGGAACAGCAGGAAAGTAAATCCATATTATTCACCAGTCGTGCTTCAAATCTTCTTCAGAAATGAATCAAACTTAAAAAATAAATAAATCATGAGATTGGCTTTAAAATCGTGAGATTTGAAATACGAATAAATTTGGAGTTATTTATCTGCCATTGAGTTTTTAAGCCTCTAGAGTGTGCTCCAGTCATATTTTCAAGCATTTTCTTACAAACTGAAATGTGTAGATACTTTATTTCTAATGAAAGCTGAGAGTGGTTTGTAAAGCTACTAGTTCAGAAGTTGAGTTTGCTGAGGAAACATGAAGTTCTACAAAAAAAAAAATCCCAAAGTGACATGATTAACAAAACAGTACTGTACCAAAGTAGGAGAAAACTGAGAGAAAATAACCAAAGTGACAGCAGACGGTCTGCAAGTGCATATCTGAAAAGATTAAGAAAAAATGCCTGTGGTGCCAAGGAACATGAACTCCAAATCTTTAGGGGATAACTTCACCATCCACTTGGTGTAGCCATTCAGACATCCCCCCGGTAAGCATTGTCATAATATTATCATAATAACCAGCCGTAGGAAAAGGAACTTGTTGGCATGTATATGTATAAATTCCAAATCAGTTCCTCAGATACAGAGAGGACTGCACTGCAAAAAGTTGCAGATTTGCTTTCCGTTAATTCATTCCCAGCTCCATTTATTTGCCATCCAGGATTCTTCCCATATTCTTTGTAACATTCCCAAGCAATTTCCTCCAGTATCTAGGGTTGGAAGCTTTATTTTTATTTAAAAGAAAATAGGTTATTAAAAAAGAGCTGAAGTTTTAGGAAAAACATGGAATGTCACAGTAGAACCAGGAAGGTCAGCAAGCCTGTATCTGCTTAATCAAGGAACAACTCGATAGCAACCTACATGAGGTGGTGGTGTCCACCTGCTCTCTCAATTCGCCCTGCGTCCCAGCAGTTTGCTCTACAAATGAGAAAGCAAAGCTCCAAATTATGCATCAAATGTGGCATACAAATTAACCATACCAATGATCTCCTAATTCACACAGCAGTTCTGCAGTAAGTGTGTAGAATTAACCACAGTAAAATGCATAAGCAAGTTCAATTAATAATCATACATTGACAAGATACATTTAGTAACCGAGTGACTACTGGATAATTTGATAAGCTAGAAGCTTCTAAGTGGGGAAAACAGGCAGGATCCTGTGCAAAATGCATATTCAGACTCAGAGATGATCATTTTATTTTCTGTGCAGAAGGCAGGTAAATCTGAAGCCACACATTTTAAAAACTGTCATTTTCCAGACTGCCCAAGAGCTGAAGGTTTAGCCCTTCAGCCTCTTCAAGCTCCCCATGCCACAGAGTGGCTCAGCCTCAATATGAAAGATAAAAACCTTTGTCCTCCCCCTGCCCTACAGCCCAGTGGCTAAGACACTCCTATGGTGGCTGATGTATGTCTGTGTTCTCAGCATGCAACTGGATCAGCAACTTGTGATGCGTGCTGCTTTACTACCAAAAACCATTACAGAGAGATTCCATCTGATGATGTTGCTTTAGTAAGAATCGCAATCAGATTTTTTTTCTGTAAACATAATGAAATAATGTATTAATTGGGATAGTGTTTAACTTGCACCTATAAACAAGGATGAAATTACTTCCCTTCTTGAAAAATATAAAAGCCCGTGCCAGGCCTGCTGGGAGAACCTTTGCTTCCACAACCTCTTGAGTAAGTACTTGGTTAGGCGTTTTCACAGTGTTCACACACACACTTCTCTACTGCGTCCCCATTCCTTAACCCTTCTGCGTGTGCATTAAATGTTAGAAAGACAAAGAGCCTGAAAACACCGAGCACCATAATTCAACACGGTTGTGAAGTTCATTATTTATATAAAAGACTTCAAGTAAGCAAACTTTACATTGCTCATGAGTCTTCATGTCAGTTGGTATTTTAGCATAGTAATGTTTAGGGCCACAGAAATTTGGGCCAAAAGAGGATGGAAAACAGGCTGGTAAATACCAGGAAGCTGGAACTGAGTTCACAGGGCACTGTGTACTGGTACAGCATATGAAAAGCTGAAAAACACATGCTTGTATGAACTAATGTGGATGCTGACTGCATGCTGCTGTCTCACTTACAGACTTCATAAGCTCCATCAACTATAGAAGCATATGCATGAAATCAAATAGCACGCCCATACAAAATGAAGGCATAAAAAACAAAAATGATTTTGGCTACTCTACAAAATGCCAGAATTCATAATACTCAGAAATCGCTGTAGCTGGGAATCAATATGAAGCTGAATGGAGCTGGATCCAAAAAGTGTAAGTGAATAACAATGTGTTACATGACTTTTCAGCCTGTGATCATCAAAACAGTCTTGGTAGAGAATGAAAAAAACACTACCCAATACCTATTTATTACTACT